AACAGTTTCTTAATCACAGAGTTATAGAATGGTTTGGGACCTGAAAGAATAAAGGAAGGGACCTTTAAAGGTAGTYTGGTTCCACCTTCACTGCAATGAGCGGGGACATCAAATACACACCTTGTTCTAGTTTAGGGGCACACTGGATGTGTGAGATGTGCTCCAAATGTGTGTCATGAGCCCTTAGGGAGAATTTCCAGACATTTTCTACTTTTACAGAAATCTTGGACAAAAACTGTGAAGCCACTATTATGGGAGTTTTCCCTGTTCCCTTGTATCCACAGTTCCTTCACCAAGAAAGAGAACTCAACTCTCCACTTTCTTCTACATTTATTTCCAAATATAAGGGAGTCATCACACAGAGGAGGAACCTTCCTGTTTCCTAGTTTCCCTTTCTAGCTATTATTATTGCAACTTTTTTGATAGTGCAAACTTCCTGGTCTGTACACTATACAAGATTAGTGATTTCTAAATTTGTTGTTAATTTCACGGCATTTCTCTACTGGACTCAGACTGCTTGTCTCCAAACATTGAACTGGGARTGAAGATCATGCATTTCTTCTCCAAATCCTGACTTCCAGGAGCAATAAAACTCTCTCCCCACATGTGARACATATTTTCTATCTTCTCTTTGTATTCCAGCACCTGTAAGTGTCGTCTGTAGAGAAATGGGAGGAAAATTATGATATTAGTGAAAAATGCATCATTTGAATACTTGTGAAATCTGGAGTAGTTTGTTAAACCATATTATTAATATATTTCTAACCTTTCTATCAGTTAATTATCTCTAGCCTTACGAGGAAAGCACAGGGATATTACCTAGACACAGCCTTCTCAAAGTCTAAAAATTACCCATTAATATTGATAGTATGAAATTATGTCTTGTCCCTGTGAAGAAGTGGTGTCCAAATTTGTATATAAAGAGTATAAAAAGGGCCTTAATGATGTTTGTTTTGCAGCATCAGTTAAACCTCAAACATGACACTGACAATTCTCAGCACCACATTGAGAGGACTAATTATTTATCATATTTACCAGTTCCATGTCCACTTTAGGATGCAAACTGCAAACTTAATTAAGTATATGGATGTGCTGGKCTTCCTGAGCCCTTTCCAGAGATAAGAATACATTATCCAACACAGAAGTGTTCATTCAATATAATAAACACGCCCATTCATATGGTGTTGGAGTCCAGAAACTGTGACTTTGTTGTAGAGTTGCAGGTTGTCTCTGTAGCAAAATTTGGAGTGAACRTGTTTGGGCAGAATATGAGAAATGTCAGAGAATCATKGAATCAGAAAGGATCTGAGGTGGTGTGGTTCGAGGCTCTTCCCCCTTTTTAAAGTAGGGCTATCTTTGGAYATTTGTCTACATTTTTAGACCAATGTCTAAAGCTTTCTAATTCTATCCAGATGAAATCTGCAGGAGGAAAGACAACATGTCTAGGTATCTCAGATACACAAAGACATTACAAAAGAGAAAATGGCAGAAAACTACATTAGTGTTCAGCAACAAAGCTAATTGTGCAGAAGTGGGTGCCTGAATTTAGTTAATGATTTTAAAGTACTTTACAGCCTAATAAACTTCAATTGCTCTGATGGGAATTTTCTGCGAAGAGCAGACTCAGTCCTGCAGTCAATCCATTAGTTAAKCCATCTTTGTTCTTGTGAATAATGTTATTTGCATTTCTGTATTCAGGGAGAGAATATGGGCTGTATGGAAATAGATTGCATGAAAGGAGCTAATGTAAATATTTTTACTCTTCCAGCAGTCTAAAGGATAGTCTATAATTAATCTRTAGTTACTTGAACAGGTAAATGTAACAAGTGTTTATATTAAGGTGACAAAAAGTTTGCATTTCACTTGGCTAAATATGTGATTGTGAGAAATTCTGCTTTTAGGCTCATTCCGTATATGACTACTGTCCACAGTAATTTTTCATTTTAAGACAGGAGTGAAACTTGTTCTTATGTTATGTTGTTTGTGGTGAATCTTTTTTCAGTGTAAAAAATACAAAGGTATACTACTTAATTCTCTTTTTATTTCAAAGCCGGCTGAATTGTGAAACCGATATGTGAATATTTTTATCAAAGGAAAAAGTTGGTGGGTTTGGACAATATAAGAAGGAACGAGAATTTCTGTGGCAATAATTTAGAAAATGAAATAACCTAAAACCAAATAACCAAAAAAACCTCAGCCTGTTAGCATGTGAGAGTGTTGAGGAGAAAATACAAAATATCTGCACATAGGATTCAGGAAATAAGTTTTCCTGAGGGCATTAGAAAAATACTGGTCAACTATAGTTCAGCTTGCCTGGTGGAATGCTCTTTTGCTGCTTCCTGCTGCCCACACTATTGTCTGCTCAGAGTTCTGGCACGTATYGTCTCGGCTTTCCATTCCTGACATCACCTGATTGCACAATTCATTCAAGTGGGTCAAGCCTTGTAACTCCAAAATATGTAGCAGCAATCAAAAGAAACTGAACTCCAACTTACACAGCAAGTTTCTGTTTGGTAGCCCCATGCAGCTGGCTCTGTTCAAAGCAGGTCAGCATTAYAGCAGTAGAGACAGCCAGAATTACTGTCTTGCAAGGGAGGATGTGGCCCCTTAATTTTTTATCCTGATGTTTGGGTTTTTCTTAACCCCAGAACCTTGCAGCATTATTGTTTCCCGAATGCGTTATTTCYATCGAGTACTGGCAGTCCCAGAATTGATAGGCAGTGAATCAATACTTTTATAKAATTGTGAAGCCAAACTAATTTTGCAGATCCACAGTGTGCAGTGTGTGGTTTTCCATTCTGGATACAATAACTGCAATYCAAAATACTCCCCCGCAAGCGTTGATTGCATGCTTTAGGAAATTCGCAATAAGGAATTTAATTAAGAAAGAAGAAACTGCATCACTTCATTTMAAAAAGAGAAATTCACCCGAGATATTTTGTTCATTTTCGTGCTATAATAGCAAYAACCATTTTTAGCTGAGGACATTTCCTGGGGCTTAATGGCCCATGGCTGTGCTTCTTCAGGTGATCATCATCATCTCCCAACAGTCATTAATCCCCTACAAATGCCCTGCACCTCAGTCATTACACGTGCTTAAATGTGCTTCTCCTGAAAATGAAATAGTTCTATATTTAATGCATCTTCCAGGAATAGGAGTAATCTTTCTGAGGTGAGGAATGAAAGAAGTTTATTAATGTGTCAAAGAAGTACTAATTATGAAAAGTGGATAAGTTCTGTTTCTGGAGATAGCACAACAAAGAATTTTTCCMCAGTAAGAGCATGTTATGTGTAAGTCATGGTTTTATGGCAATTTGCATGTCATGGTAAATGACAATTTACACTCATCTCAGTTGCAACACAGCCAAATCAGAAATACAGACAGTTATTTGCAGCTCGATTTCTTTTACATCTCAGCATAGAAAGAAAACATCTCACAAAACATGCAGTGTGTGACTTCAGTACTACTTAAAAAGGCTTTCCWTTCTGTAGCTGTAGAAACAGAGCTGTACAGTTTTACTAGGTRTTTGTGATAATGCAAGAAAATAAAAATAAGTTAAATCTTTCCTACCTAAAGTCTGAAGCTCTTACAAATAAATCTTTTGGTGAACACTTTATGAGTCTTTCTTCCAAATAGGACCACAAATACAGTGCCGACAGCATCATCAGAGATTTTAAACACAGTAGACAGCCTACTCCTGCTCAAGTAGAATTAAAGCCTTCAATGAAAATAATTGAAAGGAATTTGTCTTCATAAAAATTGAATTAGAATTGGGGGGGGTGTAATTTATTTTTATTTTATTTTAATTCTACTTACTCCTGTGGTGTGATATTTTCATCCTGTGCTACTAAGCATGCAAAGCATACATCTGACGTACACATTGCATGAAGCCTGTACCTGTYCCAGACAGATTGTGAGAAGGATCAGAGAAGACACTGCCTTCACTGAGTGAAAAATTAGTACCTTTTGGGTATTATGGTAATTTATTATTTCTGTTGGACATTCTGATCCCATGTACTTAGGGGACTGTGTAGATGAAGACAGAAGTAGAACTTTGGGCCATGCATTATTAAATGATGTATGTTAATTATGTCAATGTTACAATTATAGCACTCCTAGTCAGCACCTTTAGACTGCAGATTGATCTGAAAGAAAGAATTATTTTAACCTGACTCAAAAATTTATTGTCAAAATGTTCTGTTCCTTCACACAGACAAAAAATGCCATGATTATATTTCAGCATAAACAAAATATTTTGTTTTCTTCACAGAAAAAAAATCAGTAACAAATAAAAATTGTCCTAATTTTGCAAGTTAGGGAATTTTTTTTTTATGTGAAGACAAAGGTTTCTTTCAGAAAATTTTAAATACAAAATATCACAGACACACAGGTGCATACACATTTTATCTTGCTCCATTGTGGGTTCTAGACAGAGATATTACCTGATTTAGACTTTGAAATTTTTTCTACTTGACCTAAAGCTGTTTTCAGCAAAAACTTGYGAAAAAAAATTTATTAGAACTCTCATTAAGTCACCGATACAAAACAAAAATTGCACAGAGACAAGGAAAAGATAGAAGAGTATTGCACTTCTGAGTTGTTTTCAGTTTACCTTATATCTCATCATAAACAGCAGGTTGGGGGAAAAGTACTGATCTATTGTACTGCAGTTTGAACACTTCTTTTGCTGTAGATCTTGTTTAAGGTTACTTTGGTTATTTCTACCCTACCATGTAGCTTACAGTGTCAGCATTCTTCAGACCATTCATCAAAATTCAGCAGGCATGTCCATGATAAAGAGTAGTAAAAAAAAAGAAAGCATGTTTTTCTAAAGTGAATTTATTAGTTTTTCTATAATTCTTGTATAATTTATTTTACTCAACATCTCTGTTTTCACCCATTCATTATATTTACAGATCAATAGAACTAAAAAGAACAAAACCAAACAAGCAAACCTCATTTAATGTTTCTMATTCTAATTGTAAATTCTGTGTTATAGGTCTTGTTTTCCCTCTGTGCTGCATTCTGGGGAATCCAGYTGATGAAGCAGATCACTTCATTCAAAGATAAACATCACTGAAGGAGCAGATCTAACATGACCTTAAATATGGAAACAGCACTTTAGAATAACCTTCTAARTTCCTTGGAATTAATCAACCATGAATCTTGCTGAATTGCAGTCAGTTCACTTATGATACGAGAGATTTGTGATTTATATATGAAGGTTTGAATRATTCCTAAGGGGGTATATTCATTTTGATTTGATTTTTTTTAAAGAAATATTTAATTTCTCCCCAATTTAAATAAAATACTCATTCACAACATAGATTTTTACAGTCATAGGATTATGCAATCTTAGGAACCATGTAAAACTAATTTCATTTTTGTAGTGATTTTGTAAGTAATGATATGTGAAAAGTATTTTTCACAAGAGGAATAATTAAAATCATATTTGTTGTAACCTTGTATAAAGTGATTGACTATCTTCTTATTGWGGCTAAACATAAACATATGTGAATGTCATTTTATCTGTAATGATTGAATTACACCAGAATCTCCATGTCATGCCCAATTCAATGTTCATAACATACAGCTACATGAGGATGAGTAGTTGAGGCAAGAAAATGATTAAAAACAGCATGATAAAATAACTSGAACTAGTATGAGTTGAAACATCTTCAATAAAATTGGCAGATGTATGTGCTGTATAGTGCAGACACGCAGTTTAGGCTGAATTATTCACGGAATACACCTGCATTGCCAACTTGATAGTGATCAAACCAGGATTTGCACATGGGTATCCCACTGACACTCACTCACGTGACAAAATACTTGCAGGCTGAGCCCTTAATTTCTGGTAATTTCCTGCGGGGTGATGTCAGGGGAGATGCACGTCTTGTCTTTCAGGAGCTGTTGGAAAGAYGGTTTGTACTAAGATAGGCAAATTAAATACAAATGGTAGAGGGAGTCTCCAAACAGCAGGACTGGCAAAAATACTGCATCTAGGTTGTTTTTCTTTCCTCACACTCATCCAACTTTTTTTTTTTGGCTCCAAGCCTTTTAGAAGTGCTTAAAGTCAAGTAGCTAAAAAATGGAGTCTGTCTTAGATTTTTCAAACTAGTAATAATATCTGGATTTAAAAATGAGTTTGTGTTCTGTTTTTTACCCATTTAATTTTCCTTTAAGATGTTAATGGCAGTCTAAGAGACATCTCAGATTTAGACATAYAGCTTACTTTTAATTAACCCATATTTTCAGTCTCTAGCTGTAACAGATGCCACTGTCTGTGTAATTGGAAGTTTCCAGTAAATTTTCAGAAGCACGGTAATGTTATATAAATAAAATCWTTGCAATGTCTAGTGATAGTATAATCTTAATTGTACAGTAGAATCATTGAAATGCTTGGGTTGCAAGGAGCCTTAATGATAGGTTATTTAATAGATTATTTAAAAATAACAGAATCTGATTCCAGAAGTACAACAAAATCTGCAAACTTCTTATGTGGCCCTGTGAGTTAGTTCGTGCACCTACCTATATTTTCCAAATGGCAGCATGGTCAGTTTAATRTAACAAAGAATCATATGGAAAGTCAGTTTCCTGATCAGAATAAATTCTTCAAAGAGACATGAACAGGACAAAAATTTAAAAACTGGCAATTTCGGAGGGACAACAGTGAAGAACTAAGTAGAATTAAATTAATTTTAAAAAAGTCCAAATGAATGTAATGTATTTACATKATGCAATGAAAGGAGTGTGATTTCAAGGGCAAATATAAAATGTGTCTGATGAGGACAGGCTAGTCTTTAAAGCAGAGGCCAAACAAATTTCCACTTTTCCAACGGAATTTAGATCCCAGTTTCCTACTTCCAGGGACTTKCCCTTGTGCACAGATTGTTTGAAAGCAAGGTGGAGGAGAGGAACAACATTCTTCCAGTGCATACTGATCAGCAGGGTCTGAGAACAGCTCCTCTGGCTGAAGGCTTGAACAGGTTCATGGTGGGTGTCCAAGACTCACATGCTTTACAATCACATCACTTGGGTATGTATAAGCAATCCTTTGGCTATAGACTGAAAGCTAGGATTTGCTTCCTGGAGMAGGGARTTGGAGGGACAAGYTCTTAGAAACACCTTTGCATCATTSTTTCAGTAGCTGTGTGGCAGGTAATTATATCCCTGTTGACTTCCTTGTCACAAAGTTTTTAAAATATTAATTATTTCATATTTTAGGCATCTAACACCACTCCTGGTTCCAGTTCATGCTGTCTTTATGTCCACTGCAAAAAATGAAATAATCATTCCAAAGGTCTCTGGGTTGGAGTAATCAGGAGACTTTGGAGACTGAATTCTGACTTTGCCACTGAATTTAATTATGTGCAGTTAATATATATCATGCAGTTAATGGAATTAATGCAAATTGCTCATTGCTAGCATGTATTAGTAATATTTTCATAAGCAGTCTTCTCCCCTCAACTTTTTAATATTCCATTTCTTCATTCTTTACAATTTGACCGTGTTGTGTGAGCAATCACATGGGATCAAGTGAAATGAGGTGAATTGTCTGAGGACAGTAGTGAACAAAATACTGATGCAGAACTAATAGATATTGAGTGAGTAACTATCATTCTTTTGGAAAACCACTCTTTCAGGTCTCTAGGAGCAAAAATACTCTAGAGAGACCMACAACCTAGCCTCACATGTCTAAGTGGGAAACTTCATAAATAACATTTGTAATTTATACTATTGTGTAAGATTTCCTTTTGGTCTTGTTTGTTATTAAACTCCCCAGTGATGCACCTTAGGCAAAAAATTTGGATAAACAGAACTTTTTTTCATCAGAACTGTTAAAAAGTGATTCTCCTGCTCCTAGCAGCTGTTATAATGTCACATCCCTACACATGGCCTTTCCTGGACTATGACACAGCAATATCAAGTTACTGAAAACCCAGAAGTTACCAGCTGAATCCTGTGCCACTTGAGATCCGACCCTGCACCGTTCAAGACACCCAAAAACTTGCTGCTGACCTCAGGATCAGGGCAGAGCATTCCCAGTATGAAAACAAGAATGATGCAATATTTACTGCAACTCAAGCTTTGGTGCAGTGCATTGATTCAAAGTAACAGAGTTGCACAATTGCTTATTCCCGTGAGTAGCTAATATTGTATTCTTTCTTGTATAGTAAAATCAGAACAATTTGGTGGATAAATGCTGTAACCTATACTTCAATATCGGTTGTATATGTGAGTATATGTAGGTCATATTATATAAAGGACTTATGGGCTTTTCTCTTGTCTTTTTTGTCTTCAGTTTTCTCTCAGATCTGTGGGAGTTAGGACATCATTACTTAAATCACTACCTAAAGGAGGTAGCTGATCAGATATTTTAAAGCTACCWTTTTACAGGTAAAGGTCTGTGAACCTTCAGGAATTTTTGTCGTGTGATTAGAATCTACTAAACTGTGTGGCACCAAAGGTAAGWGTTGCTTGGATTTTATTTATTTGCTCTTGTGACAAAAAAAAAAAATAGCTATGTCTCAGCAATGGACTTCATCAAGAACAATGGAAACTCTTAGAGAATACTGAAAGTATTGCCTATTATGTGAACTATGTTGCCTTTAATGAAGTTTTTCTTAATCTCCGGCTTCTGAAATTGTGTGAATAAAAAAAAAAAAATATTTTTGCCTGCTGAAAGTAAATCTATAGAAAGCTGAAAACCTAAAAGGCAAACAAGAAGATTTTACTAGGTAATATTTTAAAACGTTTTCCCTTTTGAAACATTTTAGTGATTACATGAGGCTTGACTCATGGTTTTTGAACTCTTGGGATTGCTAATGCTGAATGGGAAAAAGCTATTCTTGGTCTGCCCTTTTCCGTAAAGCCTCTGTTTCCAGCACAGGCGTATACAGTGGCTGTGAGGCTGGGTTTTGCTGGGTTTCCTGGTTCCCTGCTGGTGTTTGACCAGCAATTCAGTTTGGAATTCAAACAAAGCAGGCCACAAGCTGGCTCTCTGACCCTCAGAAACTCTCAGCTCACGCAGACCTCACCACAGGATGCCGTGTTGCCTTCCATCCCCAGCAGACTGGGCAAAGCAAACAAGAGACCTACTATGGACCTCAGGATTTTCTCTTTCTATAGAGAAAACAAGTGTTAAAATACCTCATTTGAAACTCAGGTACAAACCACAACATAAAGCAAAAATAAGATATCTCACATGCTGGAGAAGCACTTCCATATTAATATCAAGGCCAATGGAAAGCTTGGCTCAGTTCTTTGTCTTTTTTGCCCCACCTATGGAAAACAGCAGAAAAATGTGGAAACATTGAGTAAAAATGAACTGCTGAGTGTCCTTGTGTTTATGGTTTGGCACAGAAAAGTGATACAAAATGAATTCTCTCCACCCCACCCCTTGCTATATTTTTACTGCTTCCTCCTTTATTCTTTCTTCCCATTTTTATCTTTCTCTCTGTAGTGTTTATTCATCTTTGTAAAATACCCCCTCCTGTCTTGCCTTAGGTTTGTTATGTGTGGAGGTACACTGTGGAATATTTCATATCCACAAGTCGGTTGTGGTTGGTTATTGGGTTGGTTTTTTTTTTGAGGAATTTTTTTTTTTGGTTTGTTTGTGTTTTGTTTTTAATTTATTATTTTTTTATTTTATTTGATGCACACCTATATTTACCTAAAGATGCCTACTTACTTTACTGTTCATATCAGTCAACAGGCTCTTCTAATATTCAAAAAAACACCATGCACTGCTCACACATTGTTAGTGTTACATTTATTTATTTCACTTGTATGGTACCTTTGCCTGGTTTCTCTAATGATTCATTTTCTATTTACATTCCAGTAACATGGCTCTGTCCTTTTCCCAATTTATATTCCCTCTCCTKCTTCCTTGTGATTAATTCTGTGTAGTTACTTTTTGTCCCTTTAGCACCATGCTTTTGCTGTCACTGTCTCTTTGCTTCAGGATGTACYACTGCAGGTTTTGTGCATCATTTTCTAACCTGCTGACTTTACCATGGCAGAGACAGACAGCCCAGAAATAGCAAGGTTTGATTCAAAAGAGATTAARTGAATAAAGAAAATCATGGAGCATTTTAATGCTATGGAATTTGTGGTGTTTTCTGCCTTTCTGCATTGTGGTGTTTTTCCATTTTTTCCACAAACCTTGAATGCAAGTACTTATGAGCACATAAATTACAATTATAGAGATTTGCCAGGAAAGAAAAACACTGTAAGACAATTGAACTACGATTTTTAGATCAAAGAAT